ATAAATAAATGTCTTTGATTCATTGGTGATGTGTCAGTGTTGTTTGTTGCCCTCATGTGACTAATTATTCTGCTTTAAAGCCACAGCATATTTCTCTTAACGCTGTTTTAAGATTTAGTTTCCTAAAGAAAACATCTTTAGATATTATTTAGTTTAAGTTCAAAGCTGAATGTGAAGCAAGCAGAAGTCAAACATTTACATTTGTTTGACCAAAATCTAATAGTACCACTTTATAATTAGGCACCCAGTATAAAAGATTTATAGGTTCTAACTTATTACTCTATTATGGTTAATAAATAATGAATTAATTCTCTATAGGTCAGTTATTTCTTCAATAAGACTGTTGCAGCCGTGTGTACTTTTCACAATCTGGCCACCCAAAGGTTGTTATTACTGTATTAATAATTTATAACTAACCTACAAGCATTTATAAATGATTTATTAACCAAAGTTCAAACCTATAGAACCTTTTAGGTGCCTAATTAGAAGTGGTACCATTAGATTTAGTTTTAATACATTTAAATGTTTGCAGCAAACACAACACTGACATTATCAAGGAATATAATGTAAATATAAAGAAACTGTATGTATCATTATATAACAGAAGGTTGCATAATGAAATGTGCAGTCCCTTCATGTAACACATAGTAAAAAATGTATAAAATAATATATACAGTTATTTATATACATACACACACAGGTAGACTGATAGTTCATATTATAATGCATCATATGAGCTTATTGAATGTTAATGACTGCTGAAGTGATGTCCTCCCCTCCCACTCTGAAGGGAGGATGAGCAGCTGCAGTCTTTGTTATATGTTGTTATATGACAGTTGCTGTGTAAGTGTACAGGTTGTCAAACTATGAGCTGCTTTCCCCTTCAGGCTGAAACACAGTAGAAACTGAGCAGTGTGTGTCTGGTGCCTGGCTGTGATGCAACGTGTCCTTGTCCTCTCCTTTAACCTCACAGGGATTGTTTCTCTCCGTGCAGCTCCACTGACGATATTAAGCCGCAATGAGACTTTTTTTTCATTTGTCAGCATTTCCACAGTTTGCCCGTGGACATACACACACACACGGCCTTTAAAGCTTTGGAAGTAATAGGAGGCGACAGGATGAGGTTAATCTACCTCAGTCGGTAATGGGTTATCTCACTGAGACTTTATAGTAACCTGTTTACCTACAAAACCCTGAATTACATTCATTATTCACTGTGCAGTATGGTTAGCGTTGAGAGATTATTAATATGTTTAATAAAGGCAGCAGTGGAATGTAACTAAGTACATTTACTCAAGTACTGTACTTAATATTTAGGACAATTACATTTTAAAAGTCTAATCCTGCTAAATAAGCCCCATCTTTACTAAATGTAACAATTACATAACTCAGTTACATGTAATTTGTTACTCCCCAAGACTGATTCATAGCGAGTGCTGAAACACTTTAATACATAATATTATCATTATATACATTATATAATCCTTTTTATTAAATTAATTCAAGCTTCTCAAACGTGAATATTTGCTTTTCTCTGTTTTAAATTAGTTTAAATTGAATTTATTCAATTAATTTATCGCTTTACAGTGAATAAAAAGGCAAATAAACTGTAATTAAAATGGAGATAAATATACAGATAATGCAGAAATGACTAAATATATAAATATTATATGTGTTAATATATTTTATAATCTTATGCCAGTTGCTCTGCCCCAACCTCGGTCTATAGCTCTATCATTAATATATAGATTTATACTTGGTTTGTTGACATTTTTCCATCCTAAAGCTATTGCTGTCTGAGCTAATATGTCTATTAATTAATTAATTAACTTCTTCAGTAATATAAATAACTGTTAGTTGCAGCCCTGTCTGTTCTTATTCTATGCTATTTAAATACATCTAAAGAGACCTAACTCTCCTCTTGTTGTTTAGTGTCTTTCCCTCAGCAGGCCTCATTAGCATCTGAGCATGTGCAGAAGGGTTTCAGGATCAAGGTGGGTTAGGAGTTGGCGTGCGGTCCCCTACCAGGCAGTCCTGTTTTAACATCCCTGTGGGCACAGATCTGCACCAGCGTGGGTTTGATTATTCTCCGTCAGCCCTGCTGATGTGGGTGGCGGCGGATCTGCTGAACCGGGAAAGATTCTTCAACTGAATGTGATTTCTTTTTAAAACGCAGTGTCTTTATCACATTATCACTCAAATTATTAAATAAAACTAACAACAGGCAACGATGGAAGAAGTATTCAGATCCTAAAAGTAATCAAAACTCACAAGAGCCTCAAATTCTCCGAAGTTAGGCAAAATCTTGGTCATGGAAAAACTTGCATGGCTATTTCTAAAGGGATTCTTTGACCTCTGACCTCAAGATATTCAAATGAAAATGAGTTCCCATGAGACTCCTCTTTGTGCCAATCTCATGCAGTTTGGGGCAATAAACATACAGTTTTGTTGCATGTGATATAAATGTGTTATTTTCACCTGGAGTGTATTTTAATATTCCTGCATACTGGACTCCATAAACACTTTGAATTGCAGTGGGAATGACTGAGACACACACTTCAGGCCACCCCTGCACTACATTTATTTAAAACAATGTGGATTTGTTTAACATTTATATACAACAATAACTTGCATTGAAAAATATTTTGTGTAAATCCCAAAATACATTTTCTGAATCATTCTGTTCAATCATTAATATTGAGACCGATACGACTCCATAAAAGAGGATAAACAGAAAAGGAATAAAGACCAAAAGCAAACAACTATTGTACTGTATTGTTAAGATACAAAATAGTACCAGGATCCCTTAATTGATTGACTTCCAGTGCAGAGGGTCACCCTGCCCGCCATGCTCAGATTAGGAAACATCATTAATAATTAAAGACATATTTAAAGAGCATATTTTTACCACACAAAAAATAACAGAACAAACGATTTATATTCTAATTTGTTTCCACTAGAAACATCTGGCAGGCCAAATCGAACCATATGGTGGGCCAACTTTAGCCTGTGGGCATCACTTTGGGCAGCCCTGTTTTTCTAAGCTCTTCATACGTTTTATATGTAAACGTCTCCATTTGTAAAGTAACTCAGATAGAAAATAGTCCAACCTTATATTTGCACTTGGGTAAACATACTTAGTGCCGTTGCAGCTCTGTCAGCAGGTCACTGCGGAGCAGAGTTGGGTTAGACTTCATCACAGTAAACTGATACTAAGCTGCCTAACAGATTAAAACTGGCATCGTCTGTGTGTGACATTGTGTCTTTTGATGGTGTGAGTGTGATACGTGTGTTACACGGCGTCCACGGGCTGTTAAAGTGTTGCATGTTTCTGACCCTGACCACAGGCAGACCTCGACCTCACTGCTGTGACTGTACAGGGGTGACGGGGGGGTCACACAGGGAGTCTCGTAGGATTTAATACCCCTCCGTCCCCCCGTGCACCACCAACCACCAACCACCACATCACGTACGGTACGAGAACTGAAGTGAAAGGCAAACTCTGTGACGGCTTAGCTCAAACACACACAAATATACACACAC